TCTTGTGGGTGATTAAAGCTTGTTTGTTTGAAGCTCTTCTGATCCCACCTTCGTCGCCAGTGTTAAGTCCTGAGCGTAATCAAAAGGCTGGAGACTCATTCTTCAAACAGGTCTGTTCTTTATTCACTTCATTCCAACAACCAACAACAACAACCAAACAAAGAGGCTCGCAGGCCTCTTAAGTATGCCCGGATCCCCGGGCAAAAAAGATACAGCTGATAGGCATGTTTTTGCATCTCGCGCATGCGTGCGAGGCTGGCGCCACGCTGTCTGGTCCCGGGCAGCTTGCAGCAACCCGGGACCATAGCAATGTCCCGAGCCTGCTTCTGCAGGCTCAGGACACAACAGTAAGAGTCTGAGGGGGATAACTTCCACCTCAGAAAGTGAAAATGTATCTGAATATTGTAGTATGTTTCTATTCATAAGCTTAGAGTTATGTTGTTATATTTCATCTGTCTTTGCATGCATCTGTCTTTGCATATATGTAGGCCATGTTATTCTGTATCCATGTGAACAATTCTGACTCTCTAGCAATCTCCCATTTGTGACCATGTGCAACAGATTAAACATTCTGAAGATGCAGCATTACATGAAATATTTTGAACACACAATGGCACCGCTACACATAGCAAGAGATTGATGGATGCTGATGGATGTCATTTCCATTCTAGCCTATTATTAAGATTATGTTGAGTAATATCAATGATACTTCTATCCAAAGAACTATAGATCAATGGAACAGAGTTTCTCTTAATTGATGCTCAGTTTTATCTGCAGTCATTTTCTGGCGTAACAACCACAGAACAGATAAATCATGAGATTGGCAAAACTTAGCATTTCTTATTTATTTATTTATGAGACTTATATACCGCTTTAAGTGCAAGCACTCTCTAAGCAGTGTACACCAGTAAGCAATGTATATATATATATATATATATATATATATATATATATATATATATATATATTACATTGCCCCCAACAATCTGGGTCCTCATTTTACCTACCTCGGAAGGATGGAAGGCTGAGTCAACCTTGAGCCGGTGAGATTTGAACCGCTGACCTGCTGAACACAGTCAGCTAAAGTGGCCTGCAGTACTGCACTCTAACTGCTGCGCCACATTTAGCTCTAGATATAATTTTACTTATATCGGTATCGCAATTCACAAATCAACCCATCAAAATAAAGACTGGCAATGGAGACCTTATAGCTAATTTAACTCTACCCTAAAGATAAACTATGAAGATATACTGTATACACAGGTAGTCCTCAACTTACGGTCACAATTGAGCCAAAAATTTCTGTTTCTAAGCGAGACATTTTAAGATATTTTATTGCCACAGTTGTTAAATGAATCACTGCAGCTGTTAAGTTAGTAACATGGTTGTTAAGTGAGTCTGGCTTCCCCACTGACTTCGCTTGTCAAAAGGTCGCAAAAGGGGCTCACATGACCCTGTGACACGGCAACCATCATAAATATGAACCAGTTGCCAAGAGTTTGAATTTTTATCATGTAAACATGGGGATGCTGCAACGGTCATAAATGTGATAAATGGTAATCACTTTTTGCAGTAATATTGTAATTTCAAACAGTCAGTAAACGAACTGTTGTAAGTCAAGGATTACCTGTATTCCCATTTTCATTACAAATAGGATACCTTAAAAGGAAACCTGAATAGGACTTGAGCTTTCAAATTTGCACACATATTTTATACAGCTATTTTGGGGAAGGTACCTCATACATTGTCCTCCTGCATTGCAGAGCTTTGTCAGCAAGTAAATAAATCCTTCAGCCTGTCAACACTAGTTGCCTTGGACCCAGCCCTGTATGATGCTGAGTCTCATTTTGAGGTGCTAAAATCCTTATAGCTTCCAGAGATCATAACCTCTTATTTATATTGAGAACAGAAAACTTTATAACTAAACAGCTTGACAAGCAAGCCACTCTATGTTGCCTCACACTACATATGAGCATATGCTCATGTATAAGAGTGGCATATAAATTTGATAAGCAAATAATGAAAAGTGTATAACAAAGTTCTCAATCAAATCACAGACCCATGAATTTAAAATAGTTAATATCTGTAAAGAAGTAATTTGATTTTTTTTCATCCAAGGCTTCAGCAAACCAGCTATCCTGAACCAAGAGCCCTTCCAATGAACTGGACTATAATTCCCATGGGTTGGGGAAGGTCATCTCAACCATTGGTCTTTCTTGTTACTACCCCAGTCCAAAGATCCCTAATCCCCATGGTTTGACAGAAAGGAGACAAAAGCTGGCAACAAAATTAGATCTTAATCCTGCAGAGTTATGGGTATTTCTCATTATGTACTTTTTGTTTGTAATTGGTTAACATGAGATTCTACTCCTTATTTGTTTTTTTAAATGTCACTCTGGCTTAAATGTCATTCTTCATTTAAATTTAAATTCATTTAAGTTTAAATGTCACTCTGACCCCAAAGAGTCACTAAATGTTGTTTTTAGGTTCAACCAAGAACTATGGGTTAAAATAAGACCGTATAGGGGTCTTAGAAATGATTAGTTACTAACTGTTGTATATTGAGAGACGGAATAAGAGAGACACACACAGAGAGAATATACCTTTTCCTTATGACTCTAACAGAATAAAATAGCAATAAAGATCCCAATCTTAAATCTCGTCAGCTAAACTTTGTAGTGTTTACCACTACTCCAGATTATACAGTTATACAGACAATAAAAAACCAGCAGATTGTATCACGAAGCCAACACCTATGATAATCAGGTAGCTTCAACCATATTCAGAAAGTTAACTATAAATGCTCAAAACAAGCAGGTCAAACCTCACGGCTCTCCATTAAATCAGAGACCACATGATAGAGTTTAACTTAAGTCACAACTGAGCTAGAAAGATTTTGGAAAAAGTACATATTCAATCCACCGTTCCAATGAAAGTCGGCCATAAAATGTATACCCCTCATAAATTAACTTGTATTATCAGCACAGAATGCAAAAAGTAAGGAAAGAAAGAAAGAAAGAAAGAAAGAAAGAAAGAAAGAAAGAAAGAAAGAAAGAAAGAAAGAGAAAGAAAGAAAATACAAGATCTGAGGTGTGAAACACACTAGCTGTATAAGGATGTCATTTAAAGCACACTTCATAAAACACTCAGAATATCCCTGTCACAAACTCACAGACAAGGTGTAATCCCCACTGTGGCACTATCTAATATGCCCAGAGGGTTTTTTCACATCCCTAAAATGGGAGGGAATTATGTTCACAGTATGAAACAAACAGAATCATCTGAAATGTATCAGAGGGGTGTATGTTTGCTAGCATAACAACATCTTTTTTTTCAGATGTTCTCTCAATCCAGAGAGCAATAATGATGGTACTTTCACAAATGGAAATTACTCATGAAAATATCATTTCCATCTTCTTAGATAAAAAAAGGTGTGTTTATCTCACAGGAGGTATTTTTGAATAACACTTATATCAGGTTTTAAATAAAAGATTGTGTTGTTGTAATATTTCTCATAGAGAATGGCAGTAAGGTTGATGTATAATATGAACCTATGATAGTGGAAAGGAAGGAACTAGGCTGGTTTTATTCAGGGAGAATTGAAGTTTCCTTCTGACTTGACAGTAATACCATTCAACTTAACAGAATTTTGTTCCCAGAAAGAATACACAACACTGAAAAGCAATACAAGACCTGTGGATATGCTGTACTTGCAGTCACCCTTGGCACCCTGCCCCACTTCTGACTTCAAACTTTTATTATTTTAGCTCTAGAAAAAATAATGTGACATGTGACAAAGCAAGGTCCCAGCAATCGGGATCATCTTTATTTCTAAGAATACCTCTGCACACTGGCTTCTGAGGCATTGTTTAAAAATGGAATGGTGGGTAGCCAGTATTTAGTCCTTTATTTGACCTGCACAGAAAAAAAAGCCAAAGGTCGTACAGGGCACTCAATTGGTGGGGGTGAACAGCAATGTCAGTACTTCAAAACCTTGCAAATGGATGCTTTGTGAATGGTCAAAACCTTTTTGTCAGCCATTTTGTAAACGATGCGCAACCATTTTTTGAGAGCACCTACAATAACTTCTCAAAATTCCAAATAAGTCTATGGTGGTTTCAAATGTTTTCCAGTCCTATACTGAACTGGCCTGTATGTAATCTTCTAAGTATTCATAAAAGAATAATACAAAGCAAAGGAAGAGGCTTTTTGGTCTGGAGCCATAGCACATTGAAGAAGAATTGTATAAGAAGAAAGACACAATAGCAGGGCTGTTGGGAACCTCTGACAATGGAAGTTGAGGAGCCTCAAGACCTAGCTATTAAGAAATAACTAGACAACCTCCCCAATCTCCCTACTGTGCAATGTTTTACGAAATGTTTGTAAATGTGTACTGTAACTCTTTGTAAAGGTTTTGCTGGAAAGGAATAAGGTCCTTCTCCAAACTTCAGGCAAGGAGCAAAGTAACACCCTTGAAATTTAATGCATAACTTACAAAGATTGCACTTTCAGTCATATTATCTATCTCTATCTCTATCTATACATCTATCATGTTATAAACCTAAAATATGATTTATTTATTAATATAAAAATTAACGAAGTTTGTAAAGATAATATAAATAAAATACCCTCTTAAATTTCCAGATTTGCAAATGCTAGGACAGGATGCTTTCGTAAAAATTAAGTACAACTGTAGAACTAGTAATAATAGAATAATAATTCAACTGCCAACAATCCTGATAAGTAAGCCTGCACACAGCCCAAATCATAATTTTCCAGTTAGGCAGAGCTTTCTAGTTTTTACTACAAAGCCATTCAAATGTGGTTAAATAATCATGTAAGTTGCTTTAGTTTAGCAGATGTCCTTGAACAGAAATTCGATATCGCACCAATATAGTTTACCTTCTCTGATCTCTCTTCATTTGCAAACTGGTTTGAAAACGTGCATTTCAGAATTTCAGTATGATATATGCATGTATTAAAAAAACAATTAAACTTACCAGCTGTTTTAGTGGGTTCTGGCATTGTTTCAGTTTGTCTTTATTTCCAGTATGTGCAAGGAAACATTGAGCCCCGGATACAAATGCAGCCCAGTATGACAAGCAGAGAGTGAGAAGAATTTGTTCACTTTATATACAGCCTTAAAATATCAATCAGAATAGCACCTCCTCTCCTATCAATGTAAACCCTCTGAAAATTGACAGTTATGGGAGCTCAGCGTACATCTGTTGTTTGAAGCCACTGCCCCCCTCGGCTTTAGGAAGGAATCTCTGCTGCATTTCATGTGGATGAGGAGATCAGCTATAACTTTCTAATTTCAGACCTGTGGATCCACATACAACATGGGGAATCAAACAGTTTGCCGCGCTATCAAAGGGCTTTTAGAGATGAGAGATCGGTCAATAGAGAATTGTCGTTCCACTCAACCTTTGTGACACTATAGCCCAGACAGATAACCTGATCAGAAACCTGCAATACTACTTAACTATTTTTAGTTCTTTGAAAGATAATTTAAACCTCAGAATGCTTTCCTTAACTTGAGTAATATAGAGTTCTCATCTTCTGGGACAGGAGATTATGGCTGGCTTCAGTGAAACTGCTCAAGACAAGGACCACTAATGGAAGTGATACTTATTTTCTTCTTCATTCAAAAATGATGGGTAATTTTTATCTGTAAATAAGAAGGCAAAAGAACGGTACATTAATGAAGGGGACACAAATATGATTTTTTACAAAAATTAAAAAAAACATGACAGTACAACAGCACAGCTTTTGTGTACTTTCAGATGATTGTATGAATGAATCAAAATGATTCTGTGACCATTTAAAAGGTCTAAGAAACAGGGTTGAGATATTTGTCTGCCTATCTATCTTATCTAGTATTCCCCATCCAGGTACCTCCAGATGTTTTGAGATGATATGGGAATGTTCAGTACTAAAGTCTCAATCCATTTTATGTAATGAATGTAAAAGGCAGATGAGGCTTCAATCTCATGATCATGGTCACCATGTTAATATTTTTGACCTCTTCTCCACAGTAATTTTTGACCCTCCTCCAGAAGGATTGGCAAGATTAAGTCTATGCAATCAGTAGCATGTTATTTCTTTTGCATGTGCTGACAGGAAATACTGTTTACCATCCATAAGTTCTTTAGAAGCAAGGCATGGAGGCAATTGTCACAGGTATCAGAATGTAGTTCAGATCTGAAGAGTTGGTACTTTTCATGCAGAGTAATAAAACTAATCATCCAAGTCCATGTTTATGTGAGTTAATGTGCTCAGTTTCCCACATACCCCAAATTATTGTGTCATAAACTTCAACAGTTCTTTAAAAAGGGGAATGTAATTTGATTAAACAATTGTTCCTGTTTTTCCTATTGTATCTTCTAGTCACATTAACCCAGCTTCCTTTTTTATTGCCATGCTTTGCAATCTTTTTAACAGAAGTGGAGGAGAAAAAACAAAAGCCTGTCTCAGAAGCAGCAGTAATTCTATGGTACCACTTTACATTCTTTGCATAGGCTTAATGAATCATATCATGATGATTCCAGGGATGGCCCAGATATTATTCAGGGTATTCACAGCCCTCAACATCCCTAGCCCCTGGCATTGATTACCTAGACCAGTGTTTCCCAACCTTGGCAATCTGAAGATGTGTAGACTTCGATTTCTAGAATTCCTTAGTCAGCATGCTGACTGGGGAATTCTGGGAGTTGAAGTCCACACATCTGCAAGTTGCCAGGCGTGACAAACATTGATCTAGAGCAGTGGTTCTTAACCTTTTTGAACGAATCGCCCCCTTGAGCCAATGAGAAAGTTGTCATCGCCCCCCCTCCCCCAACATAACCTCTCAATCACAACATAGGCAATAATTCTTCAAATTATGCAAACGCTTTTTTTGTTTTCTTTAAAATTGTCATCAGGACATATCGATGCAAATAATTTATTTCCAGTCTTTTTCCCATATCTCAACTGTTTGAAAAATTTTGGTGCCACCCATCACTTTATACATGTATTTCATTATTATCTTATTTATTCAAGACACTTAAATGTAATGACCACTGAAAACAAAATTCAATTGCAAGAAAGTGAAATGCCCGAAAAGAAAAACAGTAACATTTAATGATTGAATTACAAGTGAAATTTAAGACGCAAAAAGAAATATAAAAAGGGTAGAAGCTGCTGCGCAACGTGCATGACGATAAGCGATGCATATTGACATATGTACGACGTTCTGTACTGAAGCTAGCTGGAGGAACATTTGAAAACACAATTCAATCCACTAATAGCAAGTGATCTGACGTTTTTGTACGACAGATATGCAGCGATTCACTGTACAAAAGTCTCAAAAGTGTCCCCAAAACTTCTCGCTCCATTGCCCCCATATTGCCCCCTTTTTGTTCCTTCGCCCCCGCGTTGCCCCTTTTTGTTCCATCACCCCCCTGAAAAATGAAATCGCCCCCTGGGGGGCGATATCGCCCAGGTTAAGAACCACTGATCTAGAGTACGTTCTGGGAGTGTACTTTTTGGGTGGGGGTAGTTTTTGCTTTCCTATAATCCCAAACAGATAGAAACTACTACCGTAAATGCCGGCGTACAAGGCGACCCGGTGTATAAGACGACCCCCATCTTTATAGCCAGGCCGCATTCCTAGAACGTCGCCTTATACGCCGGAAACTACCAGTATTTCCGGCGTATAAGACGACTCGGCGTATAAGACGACCCCCGTCTTTGGCGCCGATTTCAGCGCTCGCGGAAGTCGTCTTATACGCCGGCATTTACAGTGGTTACGGATTATAGGAAGATTCACAATAAGGATTCCCTTATCTGAATATCTATATAAATTATCCTGTATTGGGAGACGTCAATCTATGCAGCAAAGGCAATGATTGGACTAGCAGCTTTCAGCTACAGGATTCCAGATGTCACTGGGCTTCAGTTCATCACAATCTAAGCAAAAGAACTGTTGGGGGGTTGGTGGGATTTTCAACATATCAGGGATCTCAAGGGTGGAAAAGAATAGAATAAACAGATTAATTGCATGGCTTAAATAGACCTATTATTGATAAGTCACTTGTCCTCTGAAAAGACATAGTTTGTTTATAACACTCTCTCAGAATGTTAAAGGGCAAGAATGCAGATCATAGCAGTTCTTGTAGCAATACTCAGTAATAATATGAGCTTTGTTTACCTCATCCTTGCAGTAAAATAGGGCTGAAATACACAGATCCATTTTTAGGGACTATTGGAATTATCTCTGATTATAGTAGCTCAAAACTGGTGGTATAATTTCCTGCAGATTGTGGAGGCAATCAGTCAAAAAACAAATCTGTAGTGGAAACATAAGAAATACAAAGGACTACCATCCTCCAAAAATCTATAAGCCCATCAGGTTTGCATCATCATGGGTCCTATGCAGCCCCCAATCCCCCAGGCTGGAAAACATTTAATATGAAAATGTTGCAGGAAAACACAAATGTGTCTAGTTTTTTATTAATATACTTCCTACACTTTTTTTCTTCTGTTCAATCATGTCTAATTCTTGGCAGCTGTCTGGACAAATCATTGCAGTTTTTTGGCAAAGTTTTTTAGAAGTGGTTTGCCATTACTTCCTTCCTAGGGCTGAGAGAAAGTGACTAGTCCAAGATCACCCATTGGCTTTGTTCTGACAAGAAAAATAAGAGCTAGATGATAAAGAAAATAAACATAAAATAAAATTATGAATTTAATAATTTTGTAAGTAGGCATTTGTAATCTGAACACAATTAACACTAGGTCCTATTTTTGCTGAATGAGTAGTAGTTCTCCATCTTTGCTTGCAGAATACAGTATATAGTCATTTTGATTTCTGGGTTGCCCATTCGGTGATCTCCATATGTAACATAATCTTTCAGGTTGTTGAAGAAGGTGAAACAAGTATTTTGAATTACAAACATTGGGCTTTCTTGGCAAAACTTTTCATTAGTCTGTTTTCTACTTTGTTTCTACACCAAGGCCAAATTTCCACATAATTCATATTCTATTCAGCTTCCAAATTTAGCATTCCTATGATTAATATGAGGGTTTTTAAAAGGGGGGTGTTGTGCCAAATATTCATAGAATAGTGCAAAGTCTACTTCTTTTCCATTTTCAGTTGGATCCTTATAATACTTATTGACTTGTTTTGGATTCAACTAATGATCAAAGTGTACTACGTATCATTTTGGGATGATGTGCAAGCACTGATTTTGGCATCCTTTCACCAATAATTATGGCTCTTATATTTTGTCCATGATTTTCCTGTCTATAATAGATCTGATGCTTTTCTGATGTGAAGGGATGCATTTTAATCCATTTCATTTCATTGCTTCTTAGAATTTCAATAGTCATGGCAGTGTAACTATCATTAACATGCTTTAATTCTACAAATACCTTGTTGTTTTGCTCAGGCAGATAGATCTGTGTGATCTGCTGTACCTTTTGGAGATTAAAGGAAGCCTTCTGGTATCAATTGTTATAGTCTTCCTTCCCTAATTTAGTGCATGACTTTGTGTTTTAACATTGTAATGTAAGGGGAACATTCATAAACAAATCCTTCTTTAACCTCAGTGGTGTTTTGTGTCATTTATAGGAACTACAGTATTTCTCAGGCACCTCTTTGACAGAACAGCTTCTAAGCCCCCCAAAATAGGTTCAAAATATACATTCATCTCCCCTGCTCCCCTTTAATATTCTAATTCTTCTGGTCACTGTGGATATTTTAAAACTTCTCCTTGGATACCGAGTATACTGAGTATATTAAAAATCAATTGCTATCCAGAATGAGAGCAGAGTTACTTATGGTTCAACGTGTTTATAATGATTGCTAAATTTATAGTAAGTCCAAATCTCTTTTCATCTATTTCTATTTTTTTTAACTTATTTCAATATTTCTTTGGAAAAGTTTCTACAGTTTTTTTGTAGTCTTTGGGCATGGGGTAATGAAAAGAATATAATGCTAAAACATCAATATTACTTATGAATAAGCCTTGCAAACAGATTATTTCTTGATGCATGTATCTGAAATCATTTTGTTATGTTGCTCCATCCTTAGTGCCCTTTTTCAGTTACATTTTCCTTATTTGTCACCGTTTTGTTTTAAAACTGTTGTAGAAGTAAAAATTTTAGATTATATTGTATTCTAGGTATTCAGCTGATGATCACCTCCTTGTGGATTTTTAA